TACTATTTTACCCTTACATTTTAGTTTATATTTTTTATTGATATATTATATAAATTAATTTACATCTTAATTTAAATCATATAATTTAATAAAAATTCAGTCTTATCATGTTAATATGCACATTAAAAAATTGGTACAGTATTTTTTTTAATTCTAATTAATATAATAATATATTTGAAATAATCAAATTAACAAGTTTTATATACTCTAAAAAAATTAAAATTTTATTCTCTTTAGGTTATGTTTTTTTTCAGTTTTAAAATATATTTAATAAATAATATATTTATAAAAAAATTAATTTTATAATATTATAATTTTTTATTTAAATAATGTTTTTTATTTTATAATAATTTATATTAATTTTTATTATAATATATTTTTAATTATAATAATTTATATTTTTTATTTTTACTTAGAATAATATATTTTTTATTTAAAATAAATATTTTTTTTTTGGATTACAAAGGCAGGCCGAAGCCTGGAAGAAAAAACTAGGAACCAATAGTCCTAGACCACAAAATCAAAGAAAAGAAGCAGACATGAGAAGAGCCTCAATGGTGTTATCTGTCTTCCGAAATAATCTGCCTGCAGAAAGGAGGAGTTGTTGGCACCAAAGTCGTTTGACAATTGCTTTGGTGTCCCATCTTTGCCATGTAGTCCGCACATCTAATTAGGTCCCTACTAGTAAGAAGTATTTCCACGTGCCAGTCTGCATACATTAGATTCGTAGTCTCCCGCACCAAGCTTTGTAAAGGGTGGCCATTCATGTAGTCTCTCATTAGGATGTTAAAGGCTTCAACTGAATCTGTATACAATTGTAGTGTCTCATAGACTAGATCTCTTCCAACTTCTAAACCTGTTTTAATTGCTACTAATTCTGCTTCTATCACTGAGCCCGTTCCGATGGATCGTGTGAAACCCATCACCCAATCTCCCGCACTATTCCTAACAGTACCTCCGCAAGCCGCTTGAGCATTGGTCCGAACTGAGCCATCAACATCTACCCGCATCACATTTGACGGTGGTGGTGTCCAATGTCCGTTTTCTGCCTGCTCCAAGTGAAAAATTTTGTGCTTCATCTTCTGGTTAGATGTGAACTCTAGCAAATGGTGCAGACATCTCTGTGATATGTCTCTGTGGTTGGTTGTCTCGTTTTCAAAGAGATGTTTACACCGAGCAGTCCATAGTAGCCAGCAAGTCCAGCTAAAGACCTGCATCCACTCAAAGTTGTCATATCTGCTGCGTCCTAGATTATGTTTGATATTCCATTTCAGCCAATCCTGCAAATTACCTGAACAAAAACTAGAAAAAAGGTTAGGTTTTAAAATCTGTTTCCACACCTCTCTTGACCTCTCACAATCTCTCATAATGTGTAGCACACTTTCCTCACTTTTACACAGGTAAGGACACTCATTTGTACTGGATAGCCCTCTCTTAGCTCTGAGTGAGTTATTGGCTAATCTTTCATGAGTCGCTTGCCACATGAAGAACTTAATTTTTTCAAGTACCTGCCATTTCCACAACTTGCTCCATATCAGGTTTTGTTCTGTCTCTTGATCAGAGGTTAGGAACTCATAAGCTGTTTTAACAGTAAAATTGCCATCCTTTGCATATCTCCAGGTAAAGCTATCAGGGATCTCCCCCGATGGTGGTCTTATTCTGAGTATAGTATTGACTACCGCTCTCGGAAGTACAGTCCACCAAAGATTTGTGTTCCAATGACCGGTTGCTGATACAAAGTCTCGCACACTGGCCTTGGTATCTAGTGAATGAGAGTTTTGAAGGTAATAAGCCAGTGGGCGATTAAGAGGAGTCCACTTGTCCCACCAAAAACTCGTGGACCTCCCATTATTAATCTTCATTCCCAACCCATCAAGAAATTGGTCCCAAACCTCATAGATTGATCTCCAGGTCAAGGACGAGTAACGCATTTTGGCTACCCTTGGAATTTTCTCCTCACTACAATTGTATTTTGCCTTAAGGCATTGGACCCAAAGAGCCTCCGGTCTAGTAAGCAAGCCCCAGCATAGTTTCATAATAAAGGCTTTATTTTGGAGATGAAGGTTCTTAATCCCCAGGCCTCCCTGTTTCTTATCAGTAATGATTCTGTCCCATGCAATGAGATGCATTTTCCTTGCCTCTGCATCTTGAGTCCATAAAAACCTTCTGCTGATTCTTTCTATTTCTTTTATGGTACCCATCAGTAGAAGAGTGGATTGTATCTGATAGCTTGGGAGAGCCGAGAGCACAAATTTGATTAGGACAGACCTTCCGGCCATAGTCAAGAATTTGCACTTCCAAAGTGAAAGCTTTTTACGATTTTTCTGCACTAGGGGAAAGAATATAGAGTTTGTGACTCTAGTATGGATTAGAGGCACACCCAGATATTTTCCTAGATCTGCGGTCAACCCAACCCCGAGAGCTTGACTTAGTTCAACAGCCTTATTATAGTTCACATTCCTTGAGCAGAACATCTTCGATTTCTCTAAATTGATTCTGTGTCCTGATGCTACGCAAAAGCTTTGCATTATTGATTTTAATTCTTCCATTTGGTTTAGGTTTGCTTCAGCGAAGAGAAGTAGATCATCGGCAAAAAACAGGTGAGATATGAATGGCCCATTCCTCTTGAATCTGAACGGTTTCCACCTCTTTGCTTGGCATTCAGCTTTAATTAGCTGCCCTAATCTTTCCATACAGAGGACCAAAATATATGGGCTTAAAGGGTCGCCCTGTCGGACTCCTCTTGATGTTTTGAAGATTGGCCTTTCCTCTCCATTCCATAGGACTGACATTGATGTTGACGTTAAGCATTCATGATGAGGTTGCTGAGCTTGTCATCAAGCCTTAGACATGAGAGAGTATCCCTTATGAAGCCCCATTCTAACCTGTCAAAAGCTTTCTCCATATCAACTTTAACTGCAACATACCCTTTTCTTTTTCCATTTTGCCGCATTGTATGTATTGCTTCTTGGGCGATAGTTATGTTATCACAGTTGGAACGACCTGCAATGAAGCTACATTGTTCCTGGCTAACCAATTTCCCCATGATCTCCCTGAAACGGTTAGCAAGGATTTTTGTGACTATCTTGAAGCTGACATTATAGAGAGAGATAGGTCTCAGATCCTTGAGAGTGCTTGGGTTATCGACTTTAGGGATGAGAACAATTTTGGCCCGGTTTATGGCTTCTAGTTTTGTGGGATCTTCAAAGCAATCTTCTATTAATCTAGAGATTTTCTCCCCAACTAGTGTCCAATTTATCTGGAAAAAGTGTGCTTGGAGCCCATCTAGTCCTGGGGCTTTTAGAGCACCCATATCGAAAATCGCATTCCTGATCTCCACTCTCTCGACCCTTCTACTCAGCCTTTGTAACTCCCTTTCTTCAAGGCATGGGAAATTGGAGAACCATACTGGTTGCTCAGAAATAAAGGGGTCTTTGGTGTACAGATTCTGAAAGAAGTCACATGCCATGTGCTTTAAGATTGTGTTATCATCTATCCAGTTACCTTCTTCAGCTTTCAGGGCCAGAATTTGTTGTTTTTTCCTCTTTACCACGGTTGATGCATGGAAGAAGCGGGTGTTTTTGTCCCCCCATTGGAGCCGTTTACACCTGGCTTTCTGGAACCAAACTAGTTCCTCTTGAGCTACCACTTTATGATAATCTTTCCATAGCTTTTCCTCTAAACGGTATAGCCCAGTTTTACCATCCAGCTTTCTTCTCTTATCAATCCCTTACAGCTTCCTGAGAATCTCTTGTTTCTTCTTCGAAAAGTTCCCAACCTATTCTTCATTCCATTTCGTTGCTAATTTCGCGAAGCAAGTGGGCCCATCCACCCAGTTTTTGTCAAGCCACGAGTTAATGATGACGTTTTTGAAACCCTCTTTCAAACACCAAGCTGCCTGGTAGGAGAATTTTTTCCCATTCCTTTGTCTGCCTGCATTAGAAGCTGTATTTAGAATTATCACTCTATGATCAGATTTGAACTTTAATTCGTGGGAAACCTTAGCGTCTGGGTATTGTGAAAGCCAAGAGAAGTTACAGAAGACCCAATCGAGGCGCTCTTTTAAACCTGTTCATTCCCAAGTGTATCGATCTCCCTGGAACTTCATTTCTATCAGGCCTGTATCATCTATATAGTCTTTGAATTGATTCATAGAGGTCCATGCTGGATCATTCCCTCCTAGTTTGTCTTCGGGATTCAAGTAAGCATTGAAATCACCCATAACTACCCAAGGATCAGTGCTGTTAGAGGCTATGATTTTGATGGAGTCCCACAACAATAGTCTTGCCCGCAAGTTTGTTTCCCCATACACCACCGTGATGTTGAAGGGAGAATTTCCTCTGGAGTTATTGATTTTGCAGTGCAGGAGTTGGGTGTTTGATTTTACGTAATTCACCGTGATCTCAGGTTTATTCCATAGCATCTAGATACCCCCTGCATATCTGCTAGCTTCAATTCTTATCCAGTTACTAAAGCCTAATTTCCTACACACCCTATCTGCCTTGATTCCACCGATTCGGGGTTCAAGGAGACAAAGAACATCAATTTTATATCTACACACCATATCTTTAATTATGACGGGGAAAGCACGGCTACCTGCTCCCCTACAGTTTCAAGAGGCAATAATCATCGAAACTAAGCTTGAAGAGGGGTCAGGAGTTACCTTAGTCAATCGATGCCTCCACCCGATGTCCGACATTCTCTTCCACTTGGGTCTCCTCAACTTGAGTCTCTGTGACAGTTGTTTCTTGCTCATCCATGGGCTCATGATAGCTTTCAGATTCTGATTCCGGTGGATCAGGTGGTTTAGGAGGGCTAGCATATTGAGAGTCTTGGCTATTGTGCATTAGTTGTCTCCCATCCATTATGCTAGATGAGGGAATGTTTCGCTCAGAGTTCATTTGCATTTCCATTCCGCGACTCGATGGCTTCTCCGGTCCTCTAGCAGTGTTCACCAATTCCACTGTGCTTACTTCCCCGTGGACTACAACATGAGTCCTCTATCCTTTGGATCTTTTCTCAGGCACTATGGCCTTTTCGTTGTTGACTAAATTTCCGAGGCCCTTGTCTGGCCCATTACCATTCTGATTCTTCAATTGGTCTTGTCCTTCATCACTTACACCCGCCATGTCCAACTTATTGTTAGCTGGGTCACTTAAGGACTTCGTTCCTGGGACTGATTCACTATTGGGCCTGTATTGAGGCCTCTTGTTTTCTTTCCCAGTGGCCCGATATTCCACCCTTGACTTTGAGACCTTCATTTTTCCTGTTTCCTTTTTGGATAATCCCGCCAGGTTTACCTTCATCTGCTTATCTCTTCCATTCTCTCTTATTGTCAGAGCTTTTTCCTGTCTACGACTTTGGTCCATTTCTAGTTTTTTCTCGGAACTCAAAGTCGTTTTCACATCACCCTCTTCATCTAGATCTTCAATCACTGCAAACCGTGATTTTTGGCCGAAGGTTGCTTCTTTTCTTGTACTAGCGTCAGGTCCTACGTGACTTCTCTGCCCACCTCTTGGCTCTACCTTCTTAGAAAACCGAGCTCTATTTACCCTTTGGTTAATAATCCACGGTCCGAACTGTTCCTCTTCTTTATCGGAACTTTTTGTTGGTTTCACCGGTGCTCTGGTAGGGGAAACCACCGGCGAGGCAGCGCTGTTTACTTCATTGTTCTGTGTGTTAGTGCTGCACTTGTATGGACAAGCTTCTCGTCGATGTTCGAATCTTCCACAGGCAAAGCATATCAGGCCTAAGCCTTCGTATTCCACATTGTAGACTGATCCAATAGAGATTATCTTCGGCACGAACTTTTTCTGGAGATTCAACTCCACACAAATCCGCACATACTTGCCACGCTTGATCTTTGAGTTTGTGCTCTGGAAATCATTTAGGGTCTTCATGTCCACCTTCAAGGTTCTCCCTATTTTGTCTCCAAATCTGGAGATATAATGGCTGTTATAGTAGTGCATTGGTATGTCTGGAATTCGAACCCATGTGGCCACTCGTCCTAAAGGATTCTGATACGCATTGAAGTATGGTGACCATCGTTGAATCAGAACGCAATGCTGTCTAATTACCCAGGGTCCATCACAGAGGACTTTCTTGTAATGTTGTTGCCAGAATTCTTCATTCCTAAATCTCACGACAAAGTAGTTATTCGGAAGGTCGATAATTTCAAAATCATACTCCTGGAACCCCCACATTTTCCTGAGCTCTTCCTTCAAAAAGAACAAGTTGAATCTTCGTCCTAAGACTGTCAGGATGAGTGCGTAGTTCCAGGGTTCGCACCAGTCATTGAACTCCTCTTGTGTTACCGGCACCACGGGATAGATTTCCATTAGCTTCTTCACTTCCTCAGTATCTTCCGGTATTTTCCAAAAGACTTCTTTATCAGCATTGAACAAATCATCCTCCTACATGGGGCTGTCTCCGTGTGCAATCCCGTTGAACCCCATAAGTGAGGCTCGATATGACGCGAACTTCGGCGGGGGATTGCTTGGTTCCTTCGGTTCACTGTTCTCGTCTACTGGAGGCTGTTCCTCCCACTGTTCATTTTCCTCCTGTTCGCTCATCTGGTCATCCATGATAGCGTTAGGAGGATCAGTTATCTTCTTTTTCTTTTTCCTTTCTTTGTGTTCGGCAGGTTTTGGTCGGTCCAGTGGGACCTTCCGATGACCAGGATCTGCCATGGAAAATGTCGCACGCTTCCCAAGAGAGAGAAAAGTCAAAACCCACTCAGAGCTTCAGTACCTGATTTTGAAATTATTTTATATTTAAAATAAATATTATAATAATATATTTTATAAGTGGTAGTGGAATATAAAAAAATCATAAGGGTATAATGGTTCAAAAGTTTAACTCCTCTCCAAAAACCCTCAATTTGGGGGAGAGCTAAAATGGGAAGAAGGAAGGGGCTTCTCTTCCTTTCAAAATTTTTAACTAAATGAAGGGAGGGGCTCATTTTTCCTTCCTTCTCCCGCTCTTTCCTCTAACCAAACACACCCTTAAAAAACCCTGAGCAGGCCGGGTTTAGAAGACCCCCGGTGGACATTCCGACCCGACTTCACTGCCCCATGTTCAGCGTTAAAGAAAACGGAACAGTCCCTTGGTACCAATAACGTCACCGGAAGTGGTTCCCCGCCATTTTCACGGCGAGAAGATGCTGAAGAGGGTGTTGTTTGCCGGCTTCACTAGGAAGCCCGCCAGTGCTCTTGGTGTTTTTCAATTCCATCAACAGGCAAGTTCGTCCTTTGCTTCCACTCTTATTATCTTGTCTCGTCTTCTTGCTCATGTGCGGTTGGGATTTCAGAGAGGAATGCACAGTAGAAACAAGAAGGCTATGGAGTTCGTAGCTAAAGGCTGGAGTGCTTTAAAGGAGGTTGATAGAGTCATCGATTATTGTGAGCTTAATGATAAGCGTCTTATCCCTCTTCTCAGGGTACCGTATGCTCCCTCGTCCTTTAATTCCAGTATTTTTTTCTCTCGAAATGCTGGCTCCTAAAAAAATTGACTTAGGAAAAGGAAAATAGTTGACGGGATTTGATTAAACTTGTCCCAAGTTCTTGTGCTCTTGTGATTTGTTGTTTGTTCCTGCTCGTTGTTTGATCAGAAATGTCGTGAAGTGACTAACGAACTCCGAATCTTGTGACCTGCTATTTAATGTAGACATATTTCGGTCTTGCAAACTTGCCAAATGTGATGAAGTTTTAACTGACATAAACTTATAGAAATGTTTTTCACAATAAGTTACCTTCGTTTTTAAGAATGAAGAAAGGTAATAACAAAATGGAGGTCATTGACATGTTAGGTTGTCTTGTATTGGCTGAAAAGTATGCGTGTTTTCCAACCTGTACAAACTTTTGTTTCATGTATGCTTATTGGAAGTTTGATATTAGACAGCCAAGGAGAATTTTGAGCTGGCTTTGGAAGCTGATAACAGTAATATCCATGCCAGATATTGGCTGGCCAGATTGCATCTGAGATACCACGTTCCGGGACAAAATAAAGCTATGTAAGAAGACATTTTTTCCCTTTTTTTTTTTTTTTTTTTTTAAGAAAGCATTCATTTTTCAGTTCATTCTTTTTTTTCAAAATACTTCAATTGGTAAACGCAAGAAATAGGCCAATTCTGCTGCTTTTTGTTCAATTTCTCGTGGAGTCAAATTCTCATCAGTACGAGTCAAGGGAATGACCCCCTGCTGCTCTAGCCATCTGCCATTTTTAAGGATGCACTGAAATAGTGTGCCATTAGTGACATACATCTAATGTATGAGAAAAATTACTTGAGTTTATGGTCTCCTAGAAGATATGTTATAAAATATGTTGACGAATATTGGAGGTAAGTTGCATGTTGATGTTTATTTTTAGTTAAAGCAAAGGTATAATGAACACAACCAAAAAAAAGAAAAGAAGAAGAAGAAAAGAGAAAAAACAAGACAGGTTGCTCTTTTGCACATATTCGCACTGAGTCCCTACCATTGGTTGGCTCCAATGGCAATTTCATGGTGTTACTGTCCTGGGCTTTGTTTGTCTTAGTCATTTATTTCTTGCCCACGTGGATTGCATGACCATCCAGCAGTGTTATTTACGTTCTTGAGCTCCCCCCCCCCCGGGCGGCCCGCCCAAGAGGCATAGTATTTTTAAGCACATTCCTGATCCTTATATATATATATGTATGTATGTACATATTTACGAATGTTTATGCCTTCTCATTTAAACAGTGGAGCAGCTTTATTGGTTGAAGCTGCAGAAATGGGTGATCCAGATGCACAGTATGAGTTGGGTTGTCGATTAAGAGTTGAGGTGAGGATCCACTTATATGTTTCCTACTGAAATCTGTTAAGTAGGTCCAGGTGTCAAATTGTGAGTCTTTGGTGGCAATTATTCGTCCAGCCCCATAAAGTCCTTGAATAGTTTAATGGTTGTCCTTGACCGTCTATAGATTGATCTTGGTACAATTCATTCTCCTTACATGAGAATTGCTTGCCTTTTAGATAAACCAGCAATTATAATTATTGCTTGATTTTGCCTAGTCACCTTTGTGAGTTTCCAATCATAATTTGGAGTTACTTGCTTTGGGTTTTTCTGCTGAATATCTCCCCCCCCCCCAAAAAAAAAAAAAAAAACCTTTTTCTCTGATAAATGACATTTCCCCCTTATTAGTACATAATTTTTATTTTTACTTTCTCCCAAGTGACTTTGCATGAATTCATGTTTAGGAAGTATGGAGAATCTTGTGATAGTGCGTTAGTATTAAGGATTTTAAGAAGGGCCTATTTCTGAAGATATATATTCTAGTTCTAGGAGGACAACCAAATAGCCACTGTGAAGGTCATCACCATCTTTTTAAACTGACCAATAGAACACCATGGTTATTTGATCCTTCTCATTAATATTGCTGCAAATGGGTTTTTTTTCATGATAAAATATCGCTCAATTTATTCATTGGTTTGTTACACTGATAATTCTTTTTTTTTTTTTTTAACAGAATGAATATGTCCAATCTGATCAGAAAGCTTTTGATTATTTGGAAAAAGCTGTGGACCAGGTACATTATTCTTTGGAAGATTTATATTAGTCAATATTTTCTGATGTCTGTCATAGCCTTACCAGAGATTACTTTGTTCTAGTTGCATCCAGGTGCTCTTTATCTTCTGGGAGCAGTATATTTGACAGGTGATTGTGTCAAGAAAGATATTGCATCAGCATTACGGTGTTTCCATAGGGCATCACAGAAGGTACTAGGCCATATAATAAAAGGGTAAAACAATTTCCTAGAAAACATATGCATGCTATGCATTTTAACTTTACTGTCTTGGTATTGATTGACAATCCTTTTCAAGTCTAGTCAATTAAGCCTTGAGTCCCCTGATACTTGGATAATTGGTTGTGGTAGTTTATTTGTTCTCCCTCTGTTCAACTCGTTGCCTCTTTCATGTGCTGCATAAGAGCTGAAAAATTGGTCATGACAACTGCAAAACAAAGCCTTGTGTTGTATGAGCTGTGAACTGCTGTATTTTTCCCCTGTTTGGTTAGGCATGGCTTGTTTTATAATTGTAGTTCAGTTTTTGGTGCAAGTTGCATTATTTTAATTTCTTGTTCTTTGTTTTATTCAGTTACTCATTCAGTCCTAAATGTGAGACCCATGTTGTTGTGTAATTTACACTACAAAATGGGTTTTACATTTAGGACCGGAGGAGTATTTGTTAGTGTCATGATTCATCATTTCTAGAATTGATTCCGAAGTGTGCTATAAATAGACATGTCTTTTTCTAATCTACTGTTTTGGATATTTATTTGAAGTTATTTTTCTAATACGTAAAGATTTTACCATCTGTTTCTTAATGTTAACCTTTGTTTATGTTTAGGGCCATGCTGGTGCAGCTATAGCGTATGGATCTCTTCTCCTTAAAGGTTAGGTGTCCAGCTCCCCCCTTATGTTTTTCTTGATTGTGGGCTATTAAGTAGTCTATGACTATGGTATGAAGTTTTGAAGATGTATGTCTGGGTAGAGGAGCTGCTTTCCTTTGTTTGGATGGTTGATGAGGGAGAAGACTGTGAAAATATAAGTTTGAATTCCAATATAACATTTGTAAATGGTGGATTATCGTTGCAAATTACAAGTCACAAAACTAGTAGTCATTTGGCATATGCAGTCATTATCTATCTTAACAGCCATTTACTCATCTTTGATTTTAGAACTTCTAAGTGAGGGGAATTATTCATGTTCCATCCCTTTGCCATCCACACACACTTTAAGGATTAAATAAATAGACCATAAAATCTGCCCTGCATCTTACCACGTGTGTGAGTAGGTTCAGGCGTGCATGAGGAATGGAATTTCCCTTTTGAAGTAGTCTCCTCGCTTAAGTAAGACAGGTTTATTAGAAATCTATGGTAGAACATGTCATGACATGAGATAAATAGAAGATGAATTGCCCTTCAGTATTTCGATATAGCTCCTGAAAAACCTTCAAGAGAAATGTAACTTTAGATAATTAAATTAGATGAAAGTGAAGCCATCTAATGCTAGGTCATGTCATGAGGGTGCAGTGGGGTGTGGGCAAAGGTTAAAGGTTGAAACCTTCTTGATATAACCAAAAACAGAAAAAGGAGGAAAGGGATGCAAAAATATTTTACAATCAGCAAACCTAGCATACAGTCCCGATTCTCTTCATGTATGGTGAGAAAAATGACTTGAGTCAAATTATTTTTCATTTAATCTCTTTTGAGATTAAAAAAAAAAAAACATTCTTAATATATCTGAACTTCCTAGATCAATGAAAGAGTTGAAGTTTATTTAAAACGGCCACATTTTCCTGCCCCAAAATAAAAGAAGTATTGGGCACATAACGACAAAGTTGACTGTGAACAAAGCTTGCTATTCCTTGCTTGTATGCCCTCTGGCTTGTGCAAACTGTTGTTACGGGGTATGATTCATGTCCTAATGGAAGAAAGTATTGTGCCTCAGGCGTCGAGGTCCCAGAGTCATTGACTAAATTCAGTCTGGAAAGAGGTACAGCTGCAAGAAGAGCAAACAAGAGTGCAGAAAGTGATGCAGTGAATCCAGTGGAGGTGGCAAAAGAAAAATTCCAGATAGCGGCAAAAACAGGATGTGATCTTGGATTCAGATGGCTTGAAAGGCTTGAAGAGGAAGAGAAACGGCTTCTCTCTGAAACACAATCCCACTGAATACCAATATTTGCTCTTGTTCTTCAATGCCTCATGACATGGTTGGTTCTATATGGTAGCCTGGTGCTCCAAATCAAAAAAGTTGCCCATATAATCATGTGCTTAGTTTCTTATTCGAGGACTTGCTGAAGCTGATGGCTAACCAGTGATCATGAAATGGTGTTTCATGTGTATCCAGCAATAATTTGGATGTTAATATATTAACATATCTTTACCTCATTAGCAGCAAAAGAACTAGGTAACTGATGTTATATTTTCAATTTGAGACGCCGACTGATTTTTTTGGAGATATATTGAGGCTCTGGCTAATTAGAATAAAGTTGGGAGGTGCATGGGTGTTGTATCCTTTTCTTTGATCCTTGCTTTCATGTGTTGTGTATTGCTGATTGATATTCCTTTTTGGTCATAGGAGCTAGTTAGAGAATTTAATATGATGTTAAATGTAAGATTCCAATTTCCTATATCTCTCATTTATTTATTTTTTCCAAACTACTATAATTAGATTTTTGTATGATGCGTAAGTTTTCTTGCGTTGTATTTGGCTTGACAGAGGGAAGGAGAAAGGAGGAATTTTAATCAAAGGAAGGGGAGAAGAGGAAAGGGGAGGGTAGCTACAAAAGCAAAAGGAGGGGGGAGGGGAGGGAAGGGAGGGGAGAGATTTTAATGATCCCCTATTTGGATTGATTAGAAGGGAGGGGAAGGGAGGGAGCAATTTTAATGATACTTTATTTTGTTCTAATAAAAAATTAACTATTTTAACCTCATAAAATTTAAATGAATTTTCTCACTTTTTTATTTTATCAAGATATAACTATATATAATGCAATTCACTAATTTTGATTTACAAAATACAGTCACACTTATAGGACATCAAGATAAAAAGTCATGAGTGATAGATTTTAATCAGAGAAAAGACTTTGAAGGTGAAAGAAAATACCGACGGCCTCTTATAATTAGAAGAAAAAAAAGCTCAACAATACTCATTAATTTTGGAGACAACTATTTAGACAACCTCTTGCTAGATGTTCAAAAGAACTCTCTTATGTAGAAATGTTTATGACTGATTAGGGGTTAACAAATCAAAAGGGTATATAAAGAATTAAAGTATTTTAGTTAGGTTAATTTTGAAACTTAAAATTTTATCTCTCATCTCCCTTTCAAAAAACCCCACTTTTGGAAGGGAGGTTAGAAGGGAAGAGGAGAAGAGAAGAGTCTCTTTCATCTTTAAAAAATATCTTAACCAAACAAAAGGAGGGGAGCAACTCTTTTCCTTTCTTAAAAAATTGCACCAGCCAAATATAGAGAGGGGAGCAACTTCTCTCCCCTCTCCTCTAAAAATCCTGTACCAAACATAGTATTATAGTACTCTAATGTAAATGATTAAAGGAGGGATATTTTAAGGGGTTACTTAAATTTTTAATTCATGTAAATTAGTTAACTATGTAAATGATTAAAGAAGGGATATTGTAAAGGGGGGAAATAACATTTTTTTAATAAATTATTTACTTAAATTTTTTATTCATGTGAATCAGTTAACTGATTCCAAAATTTAGGGATGAAGAGAATATTATTAGTAATATGACTTAAAACCCTAAATAGAAACTTACAGAAATTTAATAAATAATGTTTTTGTCTTTATATCAAATATGCTATCAATTCAAATTTCAAATGGTGGGGTTTGTTGGTTTGGAGAAATATTGAGATGATTCCTGATTAATGAGAAAGATAAAATTTTATCCTCCATTTAATCCGTTAAACTGCTATTTATTCACAAAAACATTGTTCTTTTCTCCGCTTTGCTTTGCTAGAGACCGCGTTCCCAACTTCTGTAGGTTTCCATCTCAATAAGTTAATTGCTTCATTCCTAATAAATTTAGGCTGTGTGATCTGCGAGGATTTGTTATTGATGAGTCCCACGGTCAGATATTTATATTTTAGAGTATGAAAAATTAAATTAGATTATATTTCTTTAATAATATAGTCAATTGTATTACATATGAAAATAAAATAAAAAATTCATACGCAAGACGCCATCGCATCCAACACGCCAATACTCAAGAAAGCTCACATGACCGTACATAAAAACATTAGACGCAACTACTCCACCTTAGTTTAAGGAAAATTTGGATTTTCCATTGTTATAGGCAGATTTTCAGCCTACTAAACATTCGTTTGGATTGACAATGAAAAAAAATAACTTATTTTTAATCTGAATTTTAGAAAAGATTGGATAAAAGTTAAACTGGATAAGATGAATTGGCTTATTGGAAAAAAAGCCTTGTTCTTTGGAAGATCTATCTCGTGTTTGGTACTGCATGATTCCACTCTGTAAGAATTCCGAATCATTCTCTTGAAGCTCATCTTCTTCATTATAAATGATTTGTTGCCCCAAAATGACCCGGCCCAATAAGAAAATCTCAATTCATTGGACCTTTTGATACAATCAAATAGAAGCCCCTAAAGGCGTAATATTCTAAGAGGCCAAACTATGTGATTAGATAAATCCTCTTCTATCTGTTACGGGTTGAGGACTCCTTCTCCTTCTTCAAACTCCGATTCATATTTTTTGTAGAAAAATCTCTGATCAATGATAGAACAAGATCCATTTTGAATCAGAGTTTAAGAAAATTAGTTTGTAAAAATGAAATTGATAAAAGATTCTTTAGATTATAATTGAATAAAAGTAAGTTTGTTTATAAAATTATAAGTATAAGTTTTAATAAATAATAAAACATAATTAAAAAATAAATTTACATAATACAATATATTTAAATTAATTTAATATGAAGAAGTGAAATTTAATAGTGAATTAATTTTTATAATTTCAGAGAAATCATAAAAAAATTATTTTCCACATGCTCTGTTCTGCTGGAAGATGACCCTCCCAACTCGGATCCACCACCTTGGTACTGGACCCTCCAAGCTCTCGCCAGCCACAAACATCTCGTGCGGTTTCCAAACCGGGCTCACGTACTTCCCTTTCCTGAATTGATGGTGAATTTGCTGTTCCCCCTCCGACTTGTTCCCTTCAGGTCCGATGGGCGGAGAAAGAGAAGACAGCACAGGAGGAGACTGGGTGGGATCGGACGAGGCAGTGTCTCAATTCTTCTCATGCCAGAGGTGCGGCTGCTTCTTCCTCCATTGCTGCCGGAGATGATTCTAGACATAGAGCGCTGTGGACACCTCCGCCGTTCAAAGAAGATGAACTCCCACTCTCAGGTTCACAGCAAAAACTCAAAAGCATGAAAAGAAAGAAGAAATAAAAGGGGGAATAAATTATGTCACACCACCACATAGAATAAGCTCTTCAAATGAGTTCTTTTAAAGAGATTAATTTGAATCGCACTGTAATCCAGCTTATAAAAACAGGTCTAATAACCCATAAGCACTCCCAAACGTGATATGATTTTTTAATCGGATTTATATCCAAAATAAATAGTTTGAGTCAAATTAAGCCCTCCCAGTTAAGTACTAAATATGTTCTACTTCTTCATTTTTATCTATTTAAAAATATGTGAAAAAGTATTAAAAATTTGTAATACTACTAAAACCTAATGTCAGGGTTAGGCTTCATAAAAGACAAAAAAATTTGAGAGAAAATAAGCAGAATTTTAACCAAAACGCTGCAAACAGGGGGGAAAAAATTCTTCAAATGCTGCATAGTGGGAATTATTTCTCCAAATACTACACTCAAAATTGTTTTGGCTTGAAAACTTTAAAAGTTCATCTTAACAAGAACAATTTCTTCAATAAATGTCGTTTCCTGGGCAGCTGAACTTCATCTTGGCTTGAACAACTTTTAAAGTTCATCTTAGTAAGAACAATTTCTCCAATAAATCTTGTTTTCCGTCCAGCTGAAATTTATCTTAGTGTGAACAACTTTTAAATTTTATCAGCATTTGAACAACTTCTTCACAATCTCTCACCACATAAATATTCCTACAAGGATGTTAATGATCATATCATTAGAATAATGAGTTAATCATTATATAATGATAGTAGTAATAATTAATATTATATTAATTAAAAAGTGATTAAAGAAAATAACAAATAACAATTAAATTGACATGAACAAAAATAAGAATTAATTTACCTCACAAATAATGACTCCCAGTGCCACATCCTAGTCTCCTCCGCACACACTATGGTCGTTGTTATATATTTACTTCTTGAGTTTGATCTAATGTCTCATTTATTTGTGTAGTTGGCGTATTTAAATCAAACTAAGGTAATTCGACTAAAGAAATTGATTGTTGAGGGGTGACAAATGCCTTATTTGACGGATTACCTTGCTCAAAAGTAGAAGTGTTATATTGATCGACAATAATGCAAGATCATCAAATAAGGACATGAATGACTGAAATTAGGAGGATTGGGTGAGTCAGAATGGGATAATGTCAGTGATGATGGCATGTGATGAGGGTAAAAATGAGTTGGATTGGAAGAGGTGATAAGACTTGATGATGAGACTGTATGTTATCAGAATGACTAAATTTTGAGGCTCTTGTTCACTTAAATTTTCATTTACAATTGGTGGTTGAGTAGATAAATAACCGTTTCGCCGTTTGCTTGGTCTATCCCGAAGAATTTGTGGACGGGACAGCTCAACTATTAGTGGAGCTAGGTTGAGAATTCATATTAAATCGTTCTCTAACTATGAGTAAGATGTTACGCTGGTCTCGAGTAACTCTTTCTCGATAATCAATACAATGAGAACATCTTGAACGAGAATTAATTGTTAGCTTTATAAACTATTCTGCTATGTCATCTTGAAATAAACAAAACATTAGTGGTGGTTGAGTAGATAAATAACCGTTTCGCCGTTTGCTTGGTCTATCCCGAAGAATTTGTGGACGGGACAGCTCAACTATTAGTGGAGCTAGTTGAGAATTCATATTAAATCGTTCTCTAACTATGAGTAAGATGTTACGCTGGTCTCGAGTAACTCTTTCTCGATAATCAATACAATGAGAGCATGTTGAACGGAATTAATTGTTAGCTTATATAACTATTTCTGCTATGTCATCCTGAAATAAACAAAACATTAGGTTTGAAAAAAATTTGTATAAAAAAATGATGATATTGATCAGAAAAAACTAAAAAAACCTTACCACATAGCCAATATCACCACTAACATGTTGGATCCATTGTCTTGTATGTCTCCAATACCATTGCATGTACTCAGATATTTGATCAAGTTCACCAAGTGCTAGAGGAGCATCAACAACAACATGTGGCCATCTATTCCATGCTTCAATGAAGTTTGAGTATTGTTTAGTCTAATTTGTGGTTATTCTGCCACGCAGCTGTATTGTATGATAATTTCCTAAATGAACAGGCATGATAGGAAAGGTTGTTGACGACCGAATTGCCTTAGTACATGATCAGGGTGATGCCATTCTATAATATAAAAACATATTAGAGGAACTAAAGCAAGCCAAATTTCATGTGTTGCTAAGCAATATTCTGGAATCAATTGGCGCACTTCAAAAGATTCATATGGCTGCCAAATTATGTCGTCATTGGTCATTCTATCAAGGAGACTCCTATATTGGCGTAAGGACATTACACTTGGACGAGGATTTTCTCCTACATTTTTTCATCTAGTATTATCAACAAAAAAAATAGTGTTAAATTTTGTAAAATTTCGATAATAAATACATATAAAATATTTGTGTGTGATTTTGGCATACCTGAAACCCAAAAGAGGTAAGAGGGGTAGATATTAGACTATGGATATGGAGATACAGGTTGTTGTGGTGCTATAATAGGAAAACAAAAATAAATGTTAATAATAACTATTTCACACTAGTTATTTAAAAATTATAATTACTTAATATGATAAAATAATTAGCTATCGTTGTTGAGTAATTTTTTTAAATTTATATCTTATTATTGGTCTCCCTAAATAATAATTTTTATGATCATTTTTAATAAATATTGTTTTTCCTAAGTCCTCCTCTCTAATTTTTTTCCAAAAATAAAAAAAAACTCCTCTCTTTTATTATTATTACCCCACTATTAGTACTCTTTTTATCAGAAAAATTTGAGCACCATTTAGTGCTAGTTTTCCACCAGATATAAGATCAGACTAAGCTCACAACCAAATATTATCTAACCAATACATATTTAATCTAACTACATATCTACTCAAACACTATCTACTAAAAAAACAGTTATATATTTAATCAGATTATAAAAAAGTAAACTACAATTTATTTTATATGACAATTAATTATATGTCTATATTTTTTAATTAAAAAAACTCAACATGTAAAAATGACTAAATATAAAATTTTTATCCATCATTTAGCAAAATACATACCAAAATTTTTAAAATTTTTTAATTAAGAGACTGTACCTTAGTTGAAGAAAAAAATCAAGCTTCAAGTTGAGATAAAAGTATATAATTGCAAGACCGCACACACTACCTACTCCTACTTCACGGAAAGTGTGGTAGGAGAAAGAAGAATGAAAAGAATCGGCCAAGTTTAAGAACAATTTGAGAAGTCATGAGAAGGTAGATGGAGTGGGAATGTCGAATGTCATTATATAGGCTGAAATTACATTATGCACTCATATGCCAAAACAGAGCTGAAGATAATGAAGGACCACTCCTAAGTCCTATATCTGATGGGAATATGTAGGGAAGGAATCTTTACCTGTGAATTGAGTTTCAAATAATGAAAGACTACTCCTTGAGTGACTTTGCCTGTGACAAGAAAAAGCAAAATTATGGTCTGGTCAAATGAAAATTAAAAAGGCATGGAAGGAAGCAATTTCACGTGGAGCATAAAACAAATATAGATTGTGAATCCCATTGAAGTTGTTTATACTAAGAACAACTTTTATTTCGTGATATAAATCCCATTAAAATTGTTCAGACTAAGAATAACTTTTATTTTCTGATGTGAGTTTCGCTAAAATTGTTCAGACAAAAAACAAGTTCCGTACAAATTTAAAATCGATCGCAGATTTGGTAAAGCTCTTTCTTTTTACTGTTATCGTGTCGCTCGCAAAGCAAAATAGTCTTTTGAGGTCCGACCTAGTCCACAAAATAAGCTCTTTAGGAGGACGACTCATTTTCCCACTGGTCCCACCACAGGGAAGGCTTTTCATGCGCTGATCACCCCTACGATCTCGATTTCTCGCGCACCTATGCAGCCTTCTTCCTCCTCCCCACGTCACTGCTGCTCTCCAGTCTCCAGGGACATCACTGTCATTGCGACAAATTTCTAAGCGCCTTTTCGTCCTTCAACACTCTCGCGCTCCACTTTCGGAGATCATTTCCCTCGCTCTGGGAAATCGTGCTTTGAGGGTTTGTTTGAAATGTTCATGGGGGAAGCCAATATTAATGATTTAAAGCCTTTATTCTGTTCAGGCAAAAAAAAAAAAAAAAAGAGCCTTTATTCTGTGTCGCCGAGCCCGACCCGTATTAGTGCCCCGCTTCCATTCATATGGGTCTCATTACGTTCCTTGAATCTATATATACTGACTGAGACGCTTATATTATATAAGCTTTCGCTTTTCAGCTCGAGTCTTCCCAGTTTCTCCATACTCCTCGGAAGGTTTTTAGGGGCTGGTGTCTTGGGTTGATTCTCTCTCCTTTGTTTTTTCTGAGGGAGTCAAAGGTTCAGACGTTTTCTCTGTTTGGTCACGATTTTGAAAGTCTGGCTTTGAACTTTGAACCAGTATAATGGCTTGGTCTAATGGTGGTGGTAACTTCTCGGCCCGGAAGGCGGTGCGCCCGACTCGGCCCAGCTATGTTCCTCCTGCCTTCAGGAACAATGGCATGCCTGGTTTCAACAATGTGGACTCATTCCTGCCGGCAAATGGCTCCGCTCAGTCTGGTTTGGCTTCCTTCAACTCTTACAGTTCCAGACAGCAAGCTAGGGGTGGTGTGAGTAACGGCCGTTTTGGTGCTCGCGGTCGTGGTGGTAGAGGCCGGAGGTTTGATCGACCGGAAGAGACTGATGAGGCGAACCATTACCCGAATCGAAACGGTTTTGGGGTTCGTGACACGCTCGACACTACAGAGAGTTTCGGAGAAGATGCCGATGTCTGTGGTGGTATCAATTTTGACGCATACGAAGATATTCCAGTGGAGGTCAGTGGTTCTGACGTACCTCCTCCGGTCAATACCTTCGCAGAAATAGAGTTGAACGAGGGTTTGAACAAGAATATCAAGCGATGCAAATACGTCAAACCCACTCCGATTCAGCGTCATGCGATTCCCATCGCCGTTGCTGGTCGCGACTTGATGGCTTGTGCTCAGACCGGCTCAGGGAAGACGGCGGCGTTCTGTTTCCCCATTATATCTGGAGTTTTGAAGGATCGTTCTAGGTTTTTCGCTGCGGCTCGGGAAGGCTGGATTGCTCATCCTACTGCGCTTATAATGTCACCAACTAGGGAGTTGTCATGTCAGGTATATCGATTCGGTTTGAGTTCCATTGCAATTCTGTGGTCAATCTTTAGGCGTTGAGCTAATCGGCCAAGTTCCTTGGTTTCTATTTGATTATATTTTGGTAGATTCATGATGAGGCCACGAAGTTCGCTTATCAGACCGGAGTGAAGATTGTGGCTGCTTATGGTGGGGCACCGATTGCTCAGCAGGTTTGCATTTACATTCCTTAGGCTTTTTGTGATTACTCTGTAAGTCTCTCTCTCTCTCTCTCTATTTTTTGGGTGCGTAAGGTTTTCTTCTTTAACTCCATTGTAGGATCTCGAAGGTCTATTTAGAAGTCATTTTGACAGTTTTTAAATTTGACTTCCGCTTTGGTGTATCCCATGATATTGCTTTTCTTCAAGAATAAGAGCAAGTGTTTCAGAAATATTATTACAAGTTCCTGCATACTTGTAATTGGCCTCGGTGCCAATTGGTTCTATTGTCCTTTTCTTCATAATTGTTATTGGTTTTATTGTCCTTTCCTTCATAATTTTTGTTACTTGGGCAATAGTGGATAATGGATTCTACTTCTTTGACACAGTTTCGTAATTTGGAAAAAGGAGTGGACATCTTAGTTGCAACTCCTGGTCGCCTCGTTGACATGATTGAGAGAGGCAGGGTTTCACTTACGCAAATAAAATTCCTTGCGCTTGATGAGGCAGATCGCATGTTGGACATGGGCTTTGAGCCTCAAATTCGGAAGATTGTTGAGCAAATGGATATGCCTCCACCAGGTGCTAGACAGACTATGCTCTTCAGTGCTACGTTCCCAGATGATATACAGGTAAATTCAATCCACCATGCCTGGTTGATATTTTGGTTGACGCTGTGTTGTCTTCCCATTCTTCAAATAGAAAGTATTCTCGTGTTACATGTTTCCTGATTCATGCGGTATTATATTGTTTGTAATTAGAATATTGGCTTTAGTCTAGGATGTGTGTTATGTTTTGTGTATCATATGTATCATTTATGCGGCTAGGACTAGCCGTTGATTTATCAATGATATATTTTCAATGCTTTCTTCTGTTGCAGAAGCTGGCGGCAGACTTTCTTTCAAACTACATATTCTTGGCAATTGGAAGAGTTGGTTCCAGCACTGAATTGATTGTACAAAAAGTTGAACTTGTTCAGGATATGGACAAAAGAGACCATCTGGTCGATCTTCTTCGTTCTCAAAGGGTAAATGGGTTCAATGGAAAGGTGAGATTGAATTTATTCTAGACAAGGAATGTTTTCATCTTCTGTCATTGTTGCATGAATAACCACTCCTTTCAATTTTATTCGACTCCTATTTATTGTTAATATGTCTTGGAGAGTTGAACTTTTAGACTGAATATTAACTACTGGTTTCTGCAACACAGCAAGCTTTGACTCTAGTATTTGTTGAAACAAAAAGAGGAGCAGATGCTTTGGAAAATTGGCTGTCGAGAAAAGGTTTCCCAGCTATTGCGATACATGGTGACAAAATTCAAATGGTTAGCATCTTTTGCCTATAGAGTAATTGAAATATTTTTTTTATTCTTAATTTTTCATGATTTGGAACCCTTGATTTTGTCTGTGATCTGCCGATGCCTTAAATTAAGTAGTACACTTCACTATCTCTGCTCGACAGTGTTATGTGGCTATAGCTGTACCTATATATTATATTATATATTAAATATGATAAGTTTAGGGCTGACTCATCAATTTTGTAGTGGGTTTTCCACGTTATCCGATGAGGGCTTGGGAATATTTTAGAATATGGTTTTGTTATGTTTGTTGCTGCTACAGTGTTTTGGGCTGTGTAAAGAAATCGGTTTTTTAGAAAGTTCATTTTTAACTTCTTTGTTTGGTATTAAACAGGCTTGGTGGTGAAAAAAAAAAAGAAAAGATTTAAATGGGCTTCTTTCACTTTAAATCCTAATGTTCAGTTGCGAGGTTGAAAATGCTGTGTATTTTTTAATAATCTGCGCTCATGGTTCACATATTTATTAATTTTGGCATTCTTTTTTCATTGTAATTTATTTACAATGATAATTATAATTCAAGTGGTAAGAGTAGTGATCAAACCTTGACATGAGACACACTTGAATATCTAGATGCTATGTGAAGAATAATCAATTGTGTTTTAAAGTTGTTAGTTACCTCTCCTTATAGGAGGAAGTGGTATTGTGATGATCCATGCACTTGTAAAAAAATTATTGATATGCCATTCTGGTACAGCACTACAATGGCATGGAGAAATTGCATGTTTGGAAAAATATTTTTGGCAAAATGTTGAAACCATGTTTTGGCTTTTGCCAAAGTGTGTTTTGCAAACACACCTATAATCTGACAAGCTACTTTGTAAAATCTTCCACTAACTTTTACTCTTTTACATAAAGGAGAGGGAAAGAGCCTTGAGATCTTTCAAAAGTGGTGCGACTCCTATTTTGGTTGCCACTGATGTTGCTTCAAGAGGTTTAGACATACCACATGTGGCTCATGTTGTCAATTTCGACTTGCCAAAAGATATAGATGGCTATGTTCACAGAATTGGCCGAACTGGGCGTGCCGGCAAGTCTGGTTTGGCCACTGCTTTCTTCAGTGACAAAAACATCCCTCTTGCAAAGGCCCTCACTGAACTCATGCAAGAAGCAAACCAAAAGGTTCCCTCTTGGCTCACCCGATATGCAGAGAGTTCTTCATGTGAAATCCGTGGCAGCAGAAGGGGCCAGTGGTATGATAATGGCAAATATGGCGGCCATGATTTTAGAAATATGACTCAACATGAAGCAGGGTACCACAACCACTACGTGGATGCAGGTTTTGCAGTGAACTCTGGCGCTATAACGACAGCTTACGACATCCCTGATCCTAACAATGATTCTTATGATACATCAAACACAGTTCCTCCAACTAGCAGCAATTACCATTACAGTGATGATGCCAGTGCTTACTATGGAAGCGGGAGAGCCGATGGGCCAAATGGGTACGTATCTGTTGTTCCTACTGGATGGGACTAGATTGGTTGTTACTCTGAACTGACTCACTTTTGATATGGAGGGATTTAGCAGTATATGATATTTATACAATAATGGTGAAGTTTGTCCTTTGGTTTTCCAGCTTTCTTGAATCTGGATACTCTTTTATAGGCCTTTTTTTGGGGGATGGAGGGGTTTAGTAATACATTCAATCATCATATACGGTGGTGGTGAAAATGTAAATCCGATTAACATGGCACGTTTGTCTATTTGGATTCTTGTTCTAGGAGAATGTTTGACAGAGAAATAGAATGAAGCGGGTTTTGTTTCCGTCTTTTGTCTCTGTTAATGCCTTCTCACAGATAGATGATCCAGATGGTTACTTGGTAGCTATAACAGAACTAAATTATTCGATGTTAATTCGAATGGATTAGATTTCAAATTTTAGTTGTTCTATTTAATATAAGTCATGCTTGCTAATATTTCTTTTTTTCATTTTTGCCAGTAATTGTTATATTAAAATATTGTATTGATGTTTACTCTCTCACTATGCCTTCAATTATTTTTATTGATAGGCATGTAGTACTTAGAAGTTAGAAGATTCATGACTCATGAGAACCGGAAGGAGTATAATTCACGACTTATAATTAATGCAATACATATAATAACCTAGGGGGTAAAAATAAAAAATATATATTAAATGTTTAGACGTCTTTGAAATGTAGGTGATGAAAAAAAATTGGGGGAAGTATTATTTATTGAGATTAATTAATAAAACCCAATCATCACTTGTCAAAATAAGGACATTTGAGAAATTTTTTTTTTTTACATTTGTAACATTTTTTCTTGAATTCAACTACTTTAACTATATTTTCTATCCTTAAAATATTAGTTATTTGTTTCTCATAATAAAAATTAAAAAAGTACAATTATACGACCAAAAAGACTTGGGATAAGAAAACATACATAATATCTTATTCCTCGCGCCACAGTAGCAAGTCCAAGCTTAATAATTTTTTGCTATTTCAGGTTCTAAATTTAAGGGCTAGCTAAAAATCTAATTAATATAACATTTTAATTTACTTTATCTATAATATTTATCTATTTTACTCCAAAGTAATTATTATAGTGATTACACATATTAAGAAGTTTTATTAAAGAGTAGTTCTAATTTATACGATTAACATGGATATTTTAAAAAAGATAATATTAATTTATTTCGAATAACTAACTTAATTAATTTTTTTAATATCAACAAATTATTTATCTAGCTCTTATATTAAAAAATGAAGATGAAGTAATACTTATATTTTAGCTTCATTATGTTCCTTCTATTCTAAATCAAGTTTGATCATAAATTCTACATTCTAATGATGTTTATTAAGAATGCCTATAGCAGGAAGGGCATGATGAAATAGTTCCTAAGTGAAGAGTAGCAGTTTAGGTGAAAGCGAAATGGAACATAAGAACTTCAAAATTAAAAAAAAAAAAAAAAAGCTTGACTTTTCAGATGTTAGTGATCTCTGAAGACATACTCCCTCCTATTCAAAATATAAGTTAAATTTTGTTAGAAAGTCTTTTTTTTTATAAGATAACATTCACTTTTGTCTAATCATTTAATAATTTTTTTAATTTTATTCCTATATATTCTCTTTCTTTTTTGATTTATTTATTACATCTTTTACTTATTTTCTTTATTCATAAGGGTATATTTAAAAAAATACATGTTTTATGTATTTATTATTTTAAACTGATTTTAACTAATTTCTTGCTAAACATAAATAGATAAAGCTTATCTTATATTTTGAACCGAAGTGAGTATTTTGTAGCCGTCCTTAATAGGGTAAGGAAGGGGAGTTTTCATGACAATATTGGCATGCATGGGAGAATATAATTTATATAAAATTGGACTAGCTATTTAAAAGTGATTTTACGGAGTTCGAAATAAATATATGAGATGAATTTTGTTTCGATTTGTATAAAAATACTTTTTAAAGTTTTTTTTCTTTTTAGGATTTCCAAACGAGACATCATTATATAGGATTCCAAACGTAAGAAACATGCAGGTAAAGGAAAGAAAAACGGAAGAAACATGCAATAATAGGTGAAGGGCTGTTTGTTTCATTTCATAGGGATAGTTAAAGAGGAAAACCCAAAGATTTCACATAATATTTTTGATCAAAATACTCCTCCGATCCTTAATATAAAATCAATTTAACTAATTTGTTAGATTAAGGAAGTTAGGTAAGTTAGTTAATTATAAGGAAAGTGACACATTTTTCCTAAAATACCATAATTATCTTTCTTAATACTACCTCTCTCTTCTACTTGATTATAGTTGATGGAGTAACCATAGGGGTAATTTAGAGAAAATTGATAAATATGAGAAATGGGTCTTATATTTAGGACCAAAATCAACTTAAAAATTGGATCCTATATTAAGAACTGGAGGAGTATTAGTCTTATTATCGATAAGGTTAAATATAATGAAAGAGACTAGTCATTCTCTTCAAAAGAAAGATACATGTACGTAGCATATAAAACAATCTTGTTTATTTTATACCTTTTGTTCAATGAGAAAATGGAAGGAAATATAATGTGAGTTATCTCTTATCAAATTCATTAAGAGTGATAGAGACTTCTGATTACCAAGGCATGTGCTGTATCATCATGCCTGCTTAGCCAATTAAGCTCACATCTATCTATTTGCATGTATTCCTGAAAGCAGAAGTAAATGCATATGCAATAATACTAAAAGAAATCATTGCAATCTTTTCTTTTTGGTTCTTTTTGTTTAGTGGCATGCATTTAAAAATGATTTAAAGTAGCTTTTTAAAATAATCAGAAGTTAATTTAAAAATGGGCTAATATCATATTCTTGGTCATTACTATTTGATCCAATTTTAATTCTGTTTTTGGAATATTTAAATTGTTGATTTTGTTCTTATAGTTTCATAAGAACTGTTTGATCTAAGTATATAAAAAATCAAAATTTATTAAAAATATAAAGATCATTTAATCATTTCTTAAACTCAAATAAAAAATTTATAAAACTGTAAGGATTAAAACTAGAATTCGATCAAATATGAAGATTATCAATGATATTAATCCTTTTAAAATTTAAATAAATATTGTGGATTTTTGGAAAAAAAACCATTGTTTAAGAAAAATAAGTAATTTTTTATATAAATAATTTCAAGCAAATTGCCCTCATTGCTTCAGCCCAAAAAAATTGCCCTGATTGCAAGTTGTGCTTGCCGTGAAGTGTTTTCGGTAAAAATAAGCCAAAAATTCCCAAGGTTTTCTTCTAACCCCACCCAACTACATTAAAAAATTAAAAGAAAAAAAAATAAAAGAATTATAATTAAGTTCTACAAAAAAAATAATTATAAAAAAATTCTAATAACAACCCTGTTCTCAACTGTTTATAATGAAGTACCTCGACTTGTTTTTTTATTTTTTTTTCCTTTGCTTCGCATTTCATTGTAACTCTCCCAGAAAAAAATCAAGAAGAGACGGTCGCAAACTCAGATCTTCAGCGGCGTCTTGCCGTAAGAGAGCCTTCGATCGTACTGTTTGAGCATTATTCATCTCTCTGCTGCTACACCCGGACGTCGTTCTTAATCAGACTGAGGAAGGAGATCGTGCTAGGAAGAGACACCATATACGTTTTAGGGTTAGGTCCCCCCCCCCCCCCCCCCAAAAAAAAAAACATATTGTAAGCCCAGATGGAAGAAATTACCGAGGGAGTGAATTCGATGACCCTGGGTGGAGACTCTCAGAAGAAGAATCGGATTCAAGTGTCTAATACCAAGAAACCTCTCTTCTTCTACGTTAATCTTGCCAAGGTTTCACCCTTCACTTTGTCTCCTTGTTCGATCTGGATACTGACTCCTACATCAAGATCAATGGGTTTATACTTCTTCTGTTGCACTTATCTGCAGAGATACATGCAACAGCACAATGAAGTGGAGCTTTCTGCCCTTGGAATGGGTCAGTTTCCTCAAAGACTTTATGGTTAAATGTTGCTGGAGCTATGTTTTTTGTCCATTTTTGGGTAGTTGTGAGGGTATTTGTGATTTCTGTATTTATTGATAATGGATGAGGGTATAATTCAGTATTCTAATTCTATGTCTAACTAAATGTTGTAAAAGCCATATCATTCTATTTTTGCTTATATTATGTTTGTGAAGGGATGTGTAATGTGTTTTCTTTAATCAATTTTGTAGTGTCTGTTTTGAGATTGGATTGCTTAAATTACCTAGGCACCGAATTTCTGCTTTTCTGGCAATTCCTTTTTTGGAATACTTACTTTGCTTTGGTTATTATCCTCCTATTTACTGCCATTGATTATTTTGTTCGTTTTTGCTTTGTTACGCTTATTTTAACAAGAATGAGTTTCTCCTTACAACTATTTTTATCTTGTCTATTAGCTATTGCCACAGTGGTGACTGTTGCTGAAATTCTGAAAAATAATGGGCTGGCTGTGGAGAAGAGTAAGATACTTGATACTCCTATATTCCTCAAGTGTCTCTAATTGTGTGTTTATATAGGCCTGTTGTCCAACTTATGCAGAGATTATGACCTCCACTGTTGATATCAAGGATGACTCAAGAGGACGACCTGTTCAAAAAGCCAAGGTAATTACATGGAGAATGTGTTAATTCAACTTAATAATCTGTCATTGCTTGACAAGGGATTTATCCATGGAGATGTGGTTTTAGAGGAACCTTGTGTTTGCGGTTTCCACTTCGATCCATATTCATTGGGCTAAAAATTCAGTCAGATTGACTTTTCTTCGTCATTCTTCTGTGCGAGTGAATTTTGTACTCATTTTTTTACCATCGTACTTCTGAAATGTCATTTTACTGTTTTGCTGAAGATTGATAGTAAATTGATGATGGTTTTCCTTTGCTTTAGATTGAAATATTGCTGGGTAAGACGGTGAACTTCGATGAACTAATGGCAGCTGATGCAGAGGAAAGAGAGATCGGAGATGAAGAGCAGAGTTAAATGGGCTGCTTTTATCATTTGGTTTTCATTGTTGTTTGTTAATGTTCATTGTTGTGACTCGATGAGTTTGCTAGTTTGAATTCTATATTTAGATTGAGGCTGTGAATCATCAAACCAAAAAAAGAAAAAAAAAAAAAAGGAAAATCACTTTTGTTTGTTTTGCAAGATAAGCTAAATGTGATGTTATTTTAGAATGTCCATAATTAGAGGAGCTTGTGTTGTACATTATTTCATTTTAAGATTTATGGTTGATGTAAATGTTGAGAAAATCAGCTGGACTATGTTTGAAACATTTGTTAGGCTTGGCACTATAATTGAAAAATAAGACGAAAACTATCATGAAGAGAGAGCAGTGTCATTGTTTACCACTTATCATTCTGTCCTTGAATGGTGAAAGAAATATTATGAGAAAGTTAACATATTGAGTAATTTAACTTTCATCTCTTTATCTACTAAAGTATTAACGCATCCACTTAACTAGAATCCAAAGAAATGCATCAGAAAGATAAATAAATGTCACTTGACCGAATAAATAAAATGGGACTCTTGTTGGTTTCGTTATGCTTATAACATGAACCAACAGGTATTCATCCCTGCATCAGAGTTTCTTTGTGTTTCAATGTCGATTTTGAAAGAGTCTATCTACAGTTCCATTGTCAGAACTACAATTCAGACGGCTTATTCTGGCTTCAAATGCCACATCTTATAATGTTTAGCATTTCTGATTTTAACTGTGTTGCACCAACCTCTTAATTTTCCTGTGTTTGTCTAATGTGAGAAATGGATTTAGGTGCTGGTGCTGTGGTAATGCCCTCATACATGAATGCATAAATCTGAAGGCTCTAAATTGATTGCTAGAGTTGTCATCTCCTGTACAAAGAAATATCCTGAACAATATTTTGGTGAGGAAAAAAATCCAGTGATGATCTGTGAATAACAATTTGAAAGAAAACTCAACCTCAAAACTTCCAGATATGTGATTTGTTTATTTGTGTAAGCAAACTGATCACGCTAGAACGAAGCAGCTAGTTTTCCCCTTAAACTCTCCAACTATGTAGTGTTGCAGGAATCTGTAGTCTTGTAGGAATCTGAAGTGGTCAGTTTTCTTGTTTCTCAACAAGTATCTTCTTGCATGCTTCATAGCACATGAAAGAAATACCAGCAGCGGGAATCAGTTTTAACCAGCTTGGCCCTAATCCTCTGTACAGACCTGCAGGGCCTTCCTTTTCAAGTATACTGACAAGAGCATGAAGCATATTGCTATACTGTCTTCCATTAATAGCTCCAGCCTGCATGTGCTTGCGAGCCACCTCAAGTGGAAATGTCACACTACTTGAAAATGCACTAGAAGTTGATCCAATCAAAAAGGTCATCACATTTCCCACTTCCTCCTTATTGAAAGCTTTCTTGTATGCCTTTTGCAGTGTATCATAAGCTAGATAGTTTGTCGCAGCAAAAGGGATCACACCAATTATACTTGGGGTGAGGCCTCTATACAGTTCTGAGGGACCTTCTTCTCTAACGATTCTCATAAAAGCATCTAGGAAGTTCTTATAACCCCTCTCTGCAAGTAAAGTAGTAGTATAAAGCTGGGAAGCTTGAAACGCTAACATGAACATGGAAATATTTGATATGGCCATATGGGCATGTCTTCTTTTTTTAAGTGTCAGATGAGCATGCCCGTGTATGTATGGCTGGAAGTTTGTTGGCTAATTCGTGGGTGATTTACCTGAACAGTGAGACGAGTTTTGAGCAACTCTAGAGGGTATGTACACAGGGTTGAGCTAACTCCTGCAAGAGCACCAGCAATTGATGGAGCTGGAATTGGAAGCTTTGGCTTCTCACCAGGTTTAGGAGACAAATGCTTCTTGACTGTATCATATACAAATAGCTGCAGTACAGAAATGCTTCCATTAGATGACGTCAAAACAGAATGTTAAATAAGTTATAGCAGAACTGCTTGAGTAATTTTGGCTATAGATTAATGCGACTCCAAGTTAATAAATGGAAGAACTGTTGAATGTTTGTCCCAATCAACAGTCAAAATGTAAGCTGAAGAGTTTAAGGAGCGCAATAAATTAGCACTGTATGTCATCTAAACCTTTCTGCCACAATGCCGGTAGTAGAGTAGAGAATAAATATATGCACATAATAAATTTGGAAAACTTATTTTAACTAAATTACAGTATTTTATTAAAGTCAAACTTATGGTTTTCTTGAAAAATATATGAACATTTTTATACATGCCAAAGTCAATTATACCCCAAAAATATGATTATCTCGTAAGTTATCGAACATTCTTGTACATGTCAAGATCAATCATGCATCCAAAACCGTAATTATTTCGTGAGTTACTATTATCAGCTTACTAATTTTACAAGTGTTTGGAATCATAAGATAATCAGGTCTGGATCTTATCAAAATTCTTTTTTTCTTCTTCTTCGAATCTCATCTCCATCATTAAATTAAAAAAATAAATGATTCAGATTTAATATCTTAAAAAGTAGATGTCAACCTTCTCTTTCTCCCCCTATTTATGTGATATTATAATAATAGTTTCTTAAAGAACAAAATCCAAACTATTCATTATTTGATTAAAGGGTGGGGATATGACTCTAAGAAGAAAATGAGAAAAAGGGATTATGAGAGCATTTCCTCCCAAAATAATCATGATTTTAGGTTTCATCACTTATAAAGGTGTTTGTTTTTTAGATTCATAATTAATTGGTTTGATTTTGATAATTGATTATGAGAGCCATCCAATCAGGCTAATAATGAGGATAAGATAGAGCCCTTTTAGAAACCATTATGACCATACTCTACCAAATCAAACGCTTAGGACAGCATGTATAAAAGTAGACTCAAACCAATTATAATTAACACATTATGAACACTGATCTTGATTGATTAAAAATGGGTATGCCAAGCCTTAAGTTTAGGGAAACACCCGATTCAACCACAACATGCCAGAGTTCAACAAGAATATTAAAGGATCATTTCAATTAGTTATGAACAGACATTTCAAAATCTGATTGTAAAAATGAAAGTCACAAGTCACTACCCCATACCTCAATACCCTTGCTTGGAGCCACACGGATTACATTTACCAAATTACCCCTATACAAGCCCTTCCATCCATCAGCGTCCACTACAGAACGGAACACCTCAAGAGCAGAATTTCCGGAGAGTCCCACCATCAAATGTGTCCTTATAGTCTCCAATGGCGCCACTGCAGTTCGTGACACTGCACCAGCAATTGCCCCGCTGATCAACCTCCTTAATGAAGGGTTCCCAATCTTCAATTTCAACTTCGGACCATTCCTCTTCGTCGTTGTCTTCTTTTTCATCACCATCAGACCTTCATCTTCAATTTCAAATGAATCGTCATCATCGTCATCATAATCACCTACCAGAAACAACCGTGGAAATAAACCAGTTCGAAACCCGGTCTCAGGCATTGAAATGAATTTCATGGATGAATTCGCCAGCGCAAACGCTTTTCCACTCTCTCTAGCAGCCGGAGGGTTCGGTGAAATCCCAAATCCAAATCCTGCCTGACCAACGCTTGCGAATAAACCAGTGGAATGAGAACTACCTTCTCGAGAATTCTGTACGAACTTGATTCCAGAAGAACATATTGCTACATCTTTATTTCCAGATTCAACACCTTCAAGCAGCTGCATACCTCTATCCATCGAACCGTACGCTGTTTGCCAGAGTTCAACAGAAATCGAAACTTCGTATAAGTTTACAAAAAAGTGTAAGTAGATGGCTTCAAGCGTAGAAACGAATATTTTCAGAGAAGCATTTGATTGCCATGAATTCAATGGTGCTTTCCGGAGAATCTCTGCCTCCAGAGTGAATCTTCTAATGTTCAGTAATAACGGTGACTTGAAATTCAAAGGCTTCGAGAAGTTCGACGACCTGAAATGGCATATTCATGGTTGGGGACTCAGAATCAGAGGGCTATTTCATTTCATTATCTTCATCTTCCTCAGAGTAACACCATTCACAAAGATAAAAAAGATTCTTAGGATTTCTCGCCTTTTATTGGATTTGAATTTCGAAGACAAAGACAAGTGTTCTCAATTTCAACCACAGGTTCGAAATTAAAACAATTTGCATGGTATTTGGTATTCATTTAAATATGGATTGGACTGGTTAGTGAGGAAACCAGTGATATTTATGTCTGATCTAGTGAAAAATTAAAAAATTTGATCCTTTCAGAAAATATTTCACTCCCTTTCTCAATCATGAATAAAAGGATACTAAAGTATATACATGATTTTTAACTTTGTAAAAAGTTTCAATTTGGTACCTTAATTTGAAAAAGTATATTTTTAATCTTTTAACCTTAAAATTTTTTTAAATAATAATGACATTAGGATCTTAAATTTTGATAAAATATTATCAAATGTTAATATATTAAGTTTAATTTTCAAAGCATCCCTAATTGTTACAAAAAATCATCACTGAAACCTAAGGATTTTAAGGTTAAAGAATCAAATGTATATTTTTTAAAGTTAAGAGATTAAATTGAAACCTTGTATAAAGTTAAAGAGTCAAATGTATACTTTAGTCATAAAAGTATTTTAAGAGAATAAGTTACATTTTTTTATATATTTATTGTCCCTATTAATTTTATCTAATTTTCAGGCCAAAAATTAATTTTATATAATTTTTTGAGTTGCATGATTTAATTATGGATAAAAATCAGCATCTTAATCTTATTTCTAAGTTGCACCTACCCTGTATCCTAATTTTTTTAGTAATGCAATTTTATTCATGATTTTATTTTTTGGACTAAGGTGCATCCAACACCCCAAGATATTTTTTTGGGTGCATCTAGTATTCTAAAATATTTTGTGATACATCTAGCAACCTAAAATATTTTTTTTTAGGTGTGTTCAGCACCATGAACTATTTTTTGATGCATTCAGCATCTCAAAATATTTTTTTTTAGGTATGTTTGGCACCCAAAAATATTTTTTGGTACATCCAACACCAAGGCAAAAAAAAAATCTCAGGGTGCTGGATGTACTACAAAATATTTTAGACTACTAGAAACATCTGAAAAAATACTTCATGGTACAAAAAAAATCTCAGGGTACTGGATGCACCTTAAACCCCCCCTTTTTTTTAAAATGCTTTCAGCATCTTAATTTTATTTCTAATCCATACAATATTCCAAAGACTAGGGTGTTAGATGTAACTAAAAAATAACATTAGAATACTGGATGTACAAAAAAAAATCGTGAATAAAATTGTATTATTAAAAAAATTGGGTTGCAGTATGCACTTAAAAAGCTAGATAAGGATATTAGATACACTTTTACCTTTTAATTATTTAAAACTTATATTTTTCAAAGGGAGTACTTTTTAAAATTAAAAGAACCAACTAAAAACTTTTATTTCCTCTCATGCATAATATAAGAAGTATTCTAGAAGAAAATTTTGATCAAAATTATAAACAGTTGATTAGGTAATTAATGACAGTTTTTCAGTTTTGCCTATGATTACAAGGAGGAGAGCGAGTCTTATATGCAGAGGGAATGAGATAATTTTTTTAATCATATCCTTTAATAGGGATAAAATATGTAATTTTTTTTATTCAAGACATTTAAGAACGGGAAAATGACAAATAAAGACCCCCGAATTACCAAAATTACGCAGAGGTCACCTGAATAAGCAAATTACTATGAAGGACCCAGTCCCATATTGTAAATATGAAATCTTAGCGAAATGTCTGAAATGCCCATCAGTCAAATTGTAATTTGGTCTACTGAAGTTGTCATCCGCTAAAGTAAACTTGTTATTTCTCATAGTCAACTTGTCATTTGGCATACCTTTAATCAAGTTGTGATTTGATCTATTGAAGTTGTTATTCGTTAAAGTGAACTTGTCATTTCCTATAGTCAACTTGTCATTTGATTGAGGGGCATTTCAGACATTTCATCAAGATTTTATATTTACAATATGAGACTGGGTCCCTCATGGTAATTTTACTTATTTAGGTGACCTCTGCGTAATTTCAGTAATTTGGGGGTCTTTATTCGTGATTTTCCCTTTAAGAACTCTACTAATGTCGTATACAAAATAATAATATCTTTTGGGTATGTGAGAAAATATGAGTAAACTTTTGTATTATGCATTGGAGGGAGTAATAATATTTAGGGAAAACTAGACATGTATTAAAAAGAAAAGAAAAACATCAGGCAGATTTGAGAGAATTTTGATATTTCGGTTTTAAATAACTGGAGAGAAAATCAGACACCTCGAGATTTGAAAATTGATCTTTGGACTTGCAAGGCTATTAAAATTCCAACTTATTTAATAAATGGTGCTAATTTATAATAGTAATGTCACTAATTTTTTCTCTCCTGTCTTTTGTAACCACATAAAATCGATTCTCCATATCACGCTTTCTTTTGATTTTCATATCTTTCCTGTCTTTTATGGTTCCACTAAATTATCAGTTCAGCGAAAAAAAAAATATATAATTATGAATTTACTCTTTGAATAAAAATCATGAGCCAATATTTTTATACTTTTTTTTATAAGAAGTTAAGAAAAATTAATTCATCACTTCTTATAATTTCAACCTTTTTTGTAATCATGTTCTTGTTAGTTTTTTTTCCCCTTTTCATCCAACATGCAAGTAGACTAAATGCTACGGCCTCCGTTGCTCGATATAAGAATTAGTTAATTAATTTAAATGAATTAAAAAACTAATTAAGTTAGTTATTTGTAATAAATGAGTGTTGTTTTTCCTAAAATACTTTTACTAATTATGTGTATTAACTAGAACTATAATTTGATAAAACATTTAATATGCGTAACTACTATGAGGGTTACCTTCAGAAAAATGAGATAAATATAAAAGAAAAAGTAAACTAGGAATCTTATATTTATAACTAAATTAAATGTTAAATTAGCTCTTATATTAACAATCGGAACTAGCATTTGAATCTCACCCATTATATCGAAAATTAAATACTTGTACAAATAAATGTTTTTCATATAAAAAGAAACAATTTTTTTTTTTTTACAAGCACATATATCTTCTTATTAGAGACAACCTGTTTGAGGTACTATTAGGTACTGAAATAACAAAATTTTTTTATTACATAAAATTTTAGGTGAGTTGGGCTAAATTCAAATTGATGACCTTATATTTCTTATCAACTAGATTAACTTTTATAGGTAAATTTGAAATATATGAAAAGAAATTGGAAATGGGAAAGTCATAAGAGTCCAAATGAGAAGGGCTTCATTAACACATATTTTGGTTATTGGGTCCACAACCAACAAAATTCCAAGTGGACAATGAAGCCACGGTGCTTCATTTTCTGCGCTTATGTGTCATGTTTCCATTCACAGTGTGCTTGGCCCACAAGGTTCTTTCATTTATTTTGGGGTTAAAAGCCTAAAAGGTGCTTTTCAAACCTATAAATAAATGGGCGTTCCTTCTTCAAACAATGTCTATTTCATACACATGGCTCATATATAATATGTTTAAGAAACATATATATGATCATTATGTCTCACTTTACTCTCGTCACCATAAAAGTGTGTTTGGATTAGTTTTCAAAAGACAGATTATAGAGAAAAGTGATTAAAAAGAATATACTTTGGAAATATCTGGATAACAAGCAAAATTATAGTTTGAGAATTTAATCATCCAAACATGCCAATTTTTTGCAAAATCACTTTTTCATTGAAAATCGTGGTTGAAAAAAAGTAGCTGAATACCATAATTTTGTGCAAAATCACTTTTGAATTGAAAAATTATGATTTGAGATATAAAACCATGATTTTGCATTAAGTGATTTTTTTTTGGGTTTTTGAAGGTATAAAATCATGGTTTGGGATATAAAAAATAGATAAATGTATGAAACTTTTATATTGATAATCAAAATAAATATTCAATTAGTTCTTATATTAAGGACTAGGGCTAATATTAATTAATTATATTTTTTCAAAAACAAAAATTAAAATTATTTTTATATAATTATCATATTAATTTATGTCTTTCTTAGTAATTTGTGAATGGAAAAAAATATTCTGAGAACAACTATCTAAATATTATCACTTTATCAAAATCACTTTTTTTTTTTACAAAATCTATTCTTCCAAAATTTATTCAATAAACTTATTCTTTTAAAATATATTCTCTAGGAACTATTCTTCTAACAATGAATTGGTTTCACCCAAACACCCCCTTTGACTGAAATAAATTTTGTGTAAAAAATTAATTTTGATAAAATTGAAATTTTTTAAATAATTATTATCAAAATCACCTCTTCATATATTTTTTAAAACTAGAGTTATTTGGTAGTTTGATATTTGACAATAGGGATTCTGACTCCAACAACCAAAAAATCACAAGCCAGAAACTATCCCAACCCACTTGTTCAAAATGGTGATCTTTTGCTCTACAATAGATTTTGGGGAGGTGTTTGGCTTTTCTTTGTAATCATGGTTTATCTAACAAAAGTGATTTCCCCCTTCCCATCCTATCTTGATAGTGGTGTTTGGATTGGATGACAAAAGCAATTTTCTTCGTCCCAACCATGATTTCAGAGTAATTTAGGGTCCGTTTGGATGAGCGATTGGAAAAGCAGCTTATAGGAAAAGTAGCTTATGGAAAAGTGAAATTGGTAAAAGCTAAATTGGATAAGCTGAATTGTATTTGGATTGGAGTTCAGAAAAGCTAATTTGCAGAAGTGAGATTGGTAAAAAGTTGTTTGGATTATAGTTGAGGAAAAGAGTTTGGTTATAAATGACTAAAATGGGTATAAGTGTTAATAAATAATGAAATATGATAAAAAAAATGATTTGACATAATACAATGAAATTGAAATAATTTATTATGAAGAAGTCAAATTAATGAGTGAATTAAATTTTAAAATTTCAAAAAAATCATAACAAATATTTTAAATATAATGTGAAACATGAAAAAAAAATGAATTGATATAATACAGTGAATTATTGTTAATTTAATATGAAGAAGTGAAATTGATCGAGGGAATTAAATTTGAAA